GTTTTACTTCTGTGGAACAGGCTGAACTTACCTTAACATGAGCTAGGTAGCATGACCCATGACCCTCACCTGAAGTGGCATAACTCTGAGATACTCAGAGGGTCCTTAGCATAAGTTAATGAGCTTTAACATGCAGATACTCATGTTTTAAGTGTCTTTAGTATGGTCTAAGTGTATTTTTAACTTAACCTGTACAATCTTTGAGTTGCAAGGACTGTCACTTACGATGTTTATAAATTTACACCCTTTTTCAACGTTCCAACAAGGGTTTTGTCTTTATGATGGTTGATACTGTGTGCAGCTGGTAAGTGGTGGAAGAGGAGGAGGAAAGGAAGGGGCACAGGGGGAGGGGGCAGATCAACGCCTTCAGCAGTGATGGAGGAACTGGGGCTGAGGCAAGCCCTGCCCAGCCAGAGCTGGGCAGGTGCAGGGAGTTGGGGGTTGCAGTTTCCGCCGCTGCGTCCTGCTCATCTGGCAACTGGACCAGTGGTTCCCACCGCTGCTCCAGAAAGGCATGGGGAGGGAGAACATGTGCCCCTGGATCTGTGCAAGGTGGGGCAGGTGGGACTGGGGCTGTACCAGGTTGCACGGGCTACAGCAAATTCTCAGGTGGCTGAACCCCCTATAGCCCCTGCTCAGCTTTGAGGGCATGGGTGGGGCGGGCAGCCATGGCTCAGCTGAGGGATGGGGGTGAGAAGAGGTGGCTCCTGCCGCTGCGCACTGCTCATCTGGAAGCAGCACAGTGGCTTTGCCCCATGCCTAGCTGGGGCAGGATGGGCAAGTGGCAGGAGGGCATGGTGGGGTGTGTACCCCCAGATCAGGGCAGGGTGGGCAGCAGAGTAGGGGCTGAGGGGTCTGCAGCCACCCAAAAATTCACCATAGCTCCCACTGCCCACCTGGAGCAGCCCCGGCTCTGCCTGCCCCACCCCACCCCACGCAGATCTGAAGCCACATGCACATGCTCTCAGACCAGCAGTGGGAACCGCTAGTTAAGCTACCAGATGAGCAGAGCAGTGTTGGGAGCCACTGTCCCGCCCTCCCCAACCTGGCCCTAGCTGGGCAATGCTTGTCCCAGCCCCAGCCCCTCCCTCACTGTAGGGGGGGTGTTGATCTGCACCCCCTGTGCCCCGTACCTTTCCCCTCCACCACCTACCAGGTGGACGCAGTATCGACCATCATAAAGGAACCAATCCAATATTTGTAATACTGTTCCCATAGGAAAATTGGTTCTGAGTTACGACATCTCAACTTAAGAGACGATTTTCAGGAACCAATTGCATTGTAAGTCTGAAGACTGCCTGTACACATTAACACAGGGGTGTTGAACTTGCAGCCCACGGGCCATATCAGCCCACAGAGCCTCTCTGTCTGGCCCAGTAGAGGGCCCAGAAGTTGTATCCTTTTGCTTTGTTGGGTAAGGCTATCAGCAGTGAGCGTGACAGCTACCAGCACACTGTGCTGCGCTCCACTGCCTCTGCCAGAGCCTTCACCACCCTGGTAACCACTGAGGTAGTACGCATGTCCGAGGTTGGATCTGAACCAGCAGGAGCCACACAGTCCAGATCCAGCCCAAAGTCCCAAACAATCCCTACATTAACAGATATCATGCACCTTTAACTAAAGGGTTCTTTCAACACTAAGGAACAGCCAGAAATCCAACTGAATGACCTTGATGTTTCTTCCTATAGAAAATATATTTTTGTTTTGTAAGATGAATAGCATTAAAATCTTTCAACCAACCCCAAGTCACCAGAAAAGAATTTTTAAAAATGCATGTATTTTTAAAGTATAACTTATTTACACTAAATATTTATCGAAGTCTTGGTGACCATGGCCACATAGAGGCATTCAGTTTTTCATGGGAGAATCACTCTTCTCCCAGCAGAAACCATGAGTGTACAGAAGTTCAGGATTTTGCTGTCAGAGCAAAAATGGCCACTCCAGGAGAAAAATAACCTGAGAACAACCAGCATTAAATCACTCCAAGAAGAGTTTCTCCCAGGACAGCAAGTACCACAAGACAGTCCTTCAGTATACAAGGGTGCTTTGTTCCTACCACCTCCTCACTTCCCCAAGACAGCATGTCGCTTGGGCAGGGCCTATTGCTTCAGCTGAGCAGGGAACAGAACATGTTCCCCACCAAATCCCCACATTGTTCTGCAGGGAGACAGGCTAGATTACCTAACCAGGGCTGCCCTGTACATTGCTGTTATCCATCTCTAAGCAGACTCTAGGCAGAACACAACAAGTGTATGCACAGGCATCTCTGGCTGCAAAGCATCAGCACTGCTGCTCTCTGCACTTTAAGCGTTCAGCATTTGAATATCTGTCCAGATTGTCTCCAGGTAAGTTCTTCTACCAGGAAAAAAAGCCTGGGAGAATTCTCCCAGATCATATGAACATGTGTACACAGCCCATGTTTTGACTACATAAATAAATAGCTAAAGAAATGCTTTCCACTACAAAGTTTGAAGTTACAAAAGGTGAGAAAAGTCACAATGGCAGTAGTGTTTAGGTATGTATCCTCTGCCTTTCTGTATGCTATCTATTTAGAGCAAAGTTAAGGAATTTATGTTCAAGGATTAAAGCCTTTAAGATTGCTTTCCCAGAAACCCATTTTAACCATACTAAATTGTCCAAAGTTAACCCCTCTCTCTCTTGCTAAGAACTCAACAACTTGAGACAGATCAGAGGTCTATCAGTTTGGACCACACATTACCAGAAGCATAGTCTGGTTTTCACAAGTTCCCAGACACCAGAAAGCGCTCCTAAAATCCTGCCCCAAAAAGGAAACAATATTATTATGTACATGCACAGGGAGGACAGAAATGTCACCTCAGCTACTGAAACTGAAAGCTACAACAAGGATCCTCCGGTATTCAGAGGGCAGGGGTGTTGCTAGTCAAGCAATCCAAAAGAGGACAAAAGGACTTCCAGTCATTCTTTCATGCTCCCTAAAACCTCTCCTCCAAAACCCTCTACTGCGATAACTATGGAAGTATCAGGAACCAACAAGTACAGGAATTTAGGATACTAAGACAGGCAATTTAACAGGATTACAACAATTTAAGATTAGGATACAAACAGTAAGAGTATACAGACTCCAAGATACCCCTGCTTACCTGTATTAGCACTCATTTGACTGTCCTGGGAACAATTCTCATTTCCATCAGAGCTGGCCTGCAATGAGCAGGATGGAGCTGTTCTATTTCGTTTTTTGCTAGCTTTCCGTTCTGCTAACTGCCAGTCATCATCTTCGTCCTCACTTTCGCTCAAGTCATCAAACCCAAAGTATTTAATTTTATAATTGGAGCTCCCAGAGCTTTTAGAGCCACCTTCATCTCCCCCTCCCTCATCTTGGTCATCAAACCCAAAAAACTCCAGTTTGACATCTTTTTTGGATTTGGTATTGCTTGGTCGAAATCTGGTTGTAGTCTTGGTGGTTGCAATGTCTGCCTTTTTCCTCAAACGCCCAGCTTCTCCCAAGTCAGTAGGAGCTGCTGTGGTGAATTCATCAATACGTTCCATCGTATCCTGTATAGTAACATTACAAACTGACAAGCAAGATGGATGGAGAACAGTGTAGTCTCTAGTCCGTCCAACTGGCCCTCTAAAAGTGGTCCCACTACTTAAACCAACTTTTCTTGCTGAATTCAGACCATCATTATTTGACTCATTATTTGCTTTGGATAAAGACTGACTTGTGCCATCCATTAGCCTATCAAAGTTTGTTGCCCCCTGTGGCTTTGATTTGTTGGATCTACAATATGTCCTGCAGTTGCTCGGTCTAGGAATAGTTTGCAAAAGTTCTTCGCTAATGGCTTCCTTTGGATTTTCCATATCTTCTTTATCAAATTCCTCATCCTTGTTCTTCATGTCTGGGAGAGGTTCATTATCAAAATCTAACATGTACTCTGCAGGTCTCATGTCTTCAATATCGTTATTATCCCATATATATGAATGAGTTCTTAATGATCCCTTCATCTGAGAAGTTTCTGACAGAGAGTCTGCGCTCTTCTCAATATGCGAGTCCCAAGAGTCATGCAAGTTCTTGGTTTCAATGTAGCACCCAGAAACATCTATGGTTTCGATACTGGTTTTATTACAGTCTTCAGCATTCTTGTAAATGAAATGACTGTTCTCATTATCCTCATTAAAATTCTCCATTTTATCTATAAAAGAGGAGAGAAATTATGAATACAGAAGCAATATAAATGGAACCATGTTATAATCATTCATCTAACATGTATGTAGGTTAACTGTCAGCAATCTCACCATAACACATTTCAATGCTTAATATCAATGAAATCAGTAACACCAATAAATTTATCGATATCCATGGATATGTATGAATTTCAATACTCCCTAAACTTTGTCACGTAGATCTTTGAGATCCAACATCATGAGATTTTGGGTTATTAAAAATAACTGTTAACTTCATTCTCTGAACGTTGAAAACTATTAGCACCTAAATGTAGCTATTTACAGCAATTCATAGATGTTAGGGTCAGAAGGGACCTCAATAAATCATCGAGTCCAACCCCCTGCATAGACAGGGAAGGGTGCTGGGTTCAGATGACCCCAGCCAGATTCCCATTCAACCTCCTCTTGAAGACCCCCAGGGCAGGGGAGAGCACCACCTCCCTTGGGCGCTCATTCCAGACCTTGGCCACTGTAACTGTGAAGTTCCTCCTAATGCCCAGTCTAAATCTGCTCTCTGCTAGCTTATGGCCATTGTTTCTTGTGACCCCCCAAGGGCACCTTGGTGAGTAGAGCCTCATCAATTCCCTTCTGCGCCCCCATGATAAATTTACAAGCAGCCACAAGGTCGCCTCTCAACCTTCTCTTGCAAAGGCTGAAGAGGGCCAGGTGCCTTAGTCTCTCCTCATAGGGCTTGGCCTGCAAGCCCTTAACCATATGAGCGGCCCTTCTCTGGACCCTCTCCAGGTTATCCACATCCCTCTTGAAGTGTGGCACCCAGAACTGCACGCAGTATTCCAACTGCGGTCTGACCAGCGCCCTATTGAGGGGAAGCATCACCTCCTTGGTTCTGTTTGTCATGCATCTCCTGATGCATAATAAAGTGCAGTTAGCTTTTCTGATGACTTTGTCACACTGATGACTCATGTTCATCTTGGAGTTTGAGAAAGAGAGAGGCAATCAAAAATAGCAAATCAAGTAAATAAATAACTCTCAATTTCAAAACTTTAGTTCATGAAAATCAGAATATTGTTCACTTTGAATGCATTTACATACAAATATCTATGCACACGGAGACCAAAAAAGCCTTACGAAGAATGGTAAGGGAACACAGGTTATAGAAAGAAATAATCCTACAACAATTCCTAATTAGGTTGGGGAGGGGAGAGAGGGACAAAAACTAAAACAAGCCACACAGACACCTTCATTTGGTCCCTTGAAAATATTAGTCTTTAGCAGCCTAACTTGTTCTTAAGAAGTCAAGCTTTCATTAAGACAAACAGACATCTCAAAAGAGTTTGAGAACAGGTAGAACCTCCAAGGTTTAATTTTAGGCAACTGACATCATGCACTAGATTACAGAACTAAATGCATTAGTTAAAATATATTAAACAAAAACATACCAATTGGAAAGGAATGTAGTTTAGTACTAGAATAAGTAATTTAAACTACTAATAGAAAGCCACAAATAAAGCCAAGAAATGACCAAGAACTGCAGCAACTCTGTTGCTGTGGTCATGAATTTCCTAATATAGTATTGGTGTACTTTCCCCGATTAATCAGATGCATATTTTCAATTCAAAGTACATTCGAATGCCATGAGATCTGAAGGGTTGAAGAGAACGTAATATTGTCTTAGGACTCCAGTTAAGTCCTCATTCTTTAATCATTTTATAGATGGAAATGCATTAAGCTCTCTCATAATTTCATAGTAGGTAGGGTTGGAAGGGACCTAAGCAGATCATCAAGTCTGACCCCCTGCCATGGCCAGGAAAGGATTCTGGGGTCAAACGACCCCAGCTAGGTGGCTGTCTAGCCTCCTTTTGAAGACCCCCAGGGCAGGGGCAAGCACCACTTCCCTTGGAAGTTGGTTCCAGCTCCTAGCTGCCCTGACAGCGACGTAGTGCCTCCTGATATCTAGCCTGAATCTACTCAGAGTCAACTTATGGCCTTTGTTCCTTGTTACCCCCGGTAGTGCTCGGGGCAACAGGGACTCTCCCACTGCCTGCTGGTCCCCCTTGGCAAATTTATTGGTGGCCACCAGATCCTCTCTCAGCCTTCTTTTGTGTAGGCTGAATAGGTTCAGGTCCCATAGCCTCTCCTCGTAGGGCCTGCCTTGCTGCCCCCTGATCTTGCAAGTGGCCCTCCTCTCGACCCTCTCCATGTTGTCCACATCCCTCTTGAAGTGCAGCGCCCAGAACTGGACACAGTACTCCAGCTGCGGCCTGACCAGTGCCGCATAGAGAAGGAGGATCACCTCCTTGGACCTGCTCGTGAGGCATCTATGGATGCATGACAAGGTGCAAGCCTTCCTGATCGCATCCCCATATTGGCAGCCCATGTCAATTTTGGAATCAGTGGTGACTCCAAGATCCTTCTCTGCCTCTGTGCTTACGAGAAGCCTATAGGTATGCTGCTGGTTTTTTCTCCCCAGGTGCAACACCTTGCACTTGTCCGTATTGAAACCCATCCTGTTCTCATCCGCCCACCTCTGTAACCTGTTGCAATCTAGTTGTAGCCTGTCCCTCTCTTCTAGCATGCTCACTTCTCCCCACATCTTAGTGTCATCTGAGAACTTGAACAAGGTGCTTGTCACCCCCTCATCCAAATAGCTGATGAAGATATTGAACAGTGAGGGCCTGAGGACCGAGCCCTGGGCAACCCCACTGTCCACATCTCTCCAGGTCAAAAATGACCCATCCACCACCACTCTCTGGGTGCGGCCCCCAGCCAATTTGTGACGCATCTGACTGTGTATGCATCGACACCACAGATGCCTGATTTTTTAAATGAGGATGGGGTGAGAGACGGTGCCGAAGGCCTTCCTAAAGTCCAGGAAGGCTACGTCTACCGCAACACCTACGTCCAAGGCTTTTGTGACCTGGTCGTAGAAGGCCACCAGGTTGGTCTGACAGGACCTGCCTCTAATGAACCTGTGTTGATTCCCCCTAAGCATAAATTCCCCTGCTGGCTCCTTGCAGATGTGCTCCTGGATAATTCTCTCAAAGAGCTTCCCCAGGACCGAGGTAAGACTAATGGGCCTATAGTTTCCTGGGTCCTCTTTCCTCCCTTTTTTTGAAAATTGGGACCATATTGGCCCTTTTCCAGTCCTCTGGAACCTCGCCAGAGCACGAGTGCTCGTAAAGCTGTGCCATGGGTCCTGCAATGACCTCGGCCAATTCCCTCAGCACTTTGGGGTGGAGATAGTCAGGACCTGCTGATTTGAACACATCTAGTCCCTCCAGAAGTTCCCCGACCAGGTCCTCACTGAGCCTCTCAAAAAACAAAAAGTTGGGGTTTGGCAATATCCTGGGCAAGTAAATGCAAACTTGTATGGATGGGATGGAGCATGATAAGAAAATCTCTTTAACCGAAGTAAGAGGGGGTTGGGAAAGTTGGGAAGCGAAGCTGGACTGGCACATTCTCTCTGATGAGAGGCAGAGGAATAGACGGGATTGGGACAGGCAGGGTTGAATTTATGTTTTAGGATATTGATTGGGGAGTTTGTTATATGCCATCATATTTTATCTGTTTTTATGAGTTGCTCTCTGATCTATCATAAGTAAGAATGTAGTCAAATTGTAAATTTCATGATTTTTGTGGAAGTTGAGAAAAATGGCAATTTCCCTAAGCACCATGAAAAATGGCTGTTCTACAATTTTGCATGGAATCACTGGGAAAAAAATCTTGCTAAAAATTAATGCAGCCTGGCCTCACAACCTAAGGGGGGGGGGGGGGAAGGGGGGGGCAAGGGCCACCAACACAAAAGGGAACAGTCATGATGGCAGCTGTGCCTCTCCTCCCTCTGCCACTGATTGGTCAGGAGGTCTGCCTTTCGTGCAGCACCCCTATTCTCTGCCAATTAGTGATGAGACATGGGGCCACATCAAAGGCAGCATTCTTTACCAAACAGCAGCAGGGGAGGGTTTGGCACAATAAGCCTGAGAAAAATGGCAGCTGATGCTGCGATCAGCCCACAAAAAATTGCCCACCTGATGCCTTACGATAACCATAAGCTACCCTGAGCCTTTTTTAAAAGGTTGGCATTAAAATAAAATAGCTATTAATACATGCTATATTTTCTCACATGCCACAGGCCTCCAAATAAAAAAAACACCTTGATTTTGGAAGACAGAATATGGGAGGGTAATTCCCCAAATCATGGCAGAATGTGTGACAGTAAGTTCTCCTCAAAACACAGGACAGAAAAGACATTACATCTGTCCCTGGACTAGTTGTGCTTGTGTTTGTTCTGGGACAGAAATATCCAAAGACTGGCCTGTACACTGTACACTTCCACACCACCCATGCTGGCCTTCTAATCAGGGTTTAGTGAGCAGCTGAATGCACTGCCACTTTTCTTCCTGGCAATCCCAGGATAACCTTTTAGATGCACTTAGCAAAGTCTCTGGATAAACTGTTAGTATTTCTCATCCCTGGTATGGCAGGACAGCAACAAGGTTAAGCACCAAACCAGTGCAAGGGCAGTAGTAAGACTGTGACCTCTTTACAGTAAATAGTTCTTTATATAAACTTCCTGTAAATAATAAAGTGTTGTTTCCACACCACAAGGCTCATCAAGATACTACAGGCTAAAGGCAACACCTCAGACACTTTGGCCATTTCAGTTGCTCTTCAACCAAAAGCTACAAGAGCTAACAGTGGAATTCACCTCTGCTGTTTGGAACCCCAGGAAGAAGTGGCAGCCGTGAGTCATGGGCTGCTTACAGACATTTAAAAAAAAAAAAAAAGTGTGCTTTACAAGAAGAAGCAGCGTGTTACTTCAACATGGCTCTGCAACCTCAGCAGGCCTTTTTGGCGCTTTTAGCTAAAACTGATTTAATCAGCTATTAGATAAAAGCACTAAAAAGCCTCCCTAAAGCACCCAATCTTTATAGAAGTCAGGCAAGCCAGGCTGAAGTAAGATGCCGTCTCTTCTAGGCATGCATGGGACTCAGCGCAGGAACATGTA